AAAGAAACAAAACTGCGACACAAACAGATTCAGTCATGCATCAGTTTGGCAGAAAGTGCATGCAAATGTTCTTTCACAAGTCAAACCTCAAAACACAATTAGAGGAAAGCATATAACAAAAACTTTATTGTTATCCTCAAAGGTTTTGAACTAAATATTCAGTCTTCTCTCATAAACAAGTTAAAAGAACCAGGAGCATGTTTGTAACTTTCTGTCTGGCAAAACCTGAAACATATATAAATAGACCTGCCACAGCCAGTTGAAACATAATGTTAATTCATAGTTCATAACTGCATGAAACAGTTTAAAGACAGAATCCAGTTCAGTGAGGAGTTTTAGTTTTTACTATTTCATCTGTCTTCAATGGCACTGCCTATTCATTCTCTGCCTATAAGTAAATTAACTCTTTTGCAAACGATTTACAATGACAGTGACACTAACCATGTGACAATATCAATGTTTCTTACTTCATACTACATATTGTTTTAATTTTCTTACAGAACATTTTTTTCTATTATTTTGTTGCTGATATTTTTATTTTATATGGATAAAAAATGTTTTTTTCCTTCGCTCAGAATCTGAATTAACAAATGAGTTGTTTATACGAATGGGTGTACAACATTCCCTCTCACAAGTTAAACAGCCTTGGCTATAGGAATTTGAGAAGAATCAAATAAACGCTGATGAACTAGATTCCTCCAGCAAGGAGGAGGAGAAATCTCTGAGGTGACAAATATTTTAGAAAGTTACAATATTCACTCACACCAGCCAAACTGAATCTCAGGCAAAAGTGTAACAATGTACATTTGATTTTAATATCTTCATCAAACTCAGTGGCAAAGTAAGCTACAACCTGGAGAGATATTAACACATAAATGTGTCAACTACGAATCTTTATGAGATCACATCAGGAGATATGAAGACATGTTCCTATTTAGACTGGCACACAAGCACTGTTGTTTGTAAAAAAGCTAAAGCTATGCCTCATTTACAGGAAACAAACAAAGTGGTAGAAAATGGTACTTCTCCCATCATGCTTTGCGTTCTCTGATGAGCCACACACTGGACTTTGAAACTGAAATAAACAGGGGACACTTAAGCTTTTACTATGATCAGATTCTGTTAAAGAGAACCAAAAATTGAAAGAAACATTTTTTTAATCAGTTTTAAAACTCCACAAACAAATGATTATACCTACTGAAGTTAATTTGCATTAACAAACAAGTCAAGTAATTAATAAAAGTAAAGTATCTGTGAGGTTTTAAGTCTTTCCTGCTTATTACATGAAAGAACTCACCTTTTTAAGTTACTGAAAAAATAAAGAAATACAACATAATCTAGATAATCTCGCTAAAAAGCAGAAATATTGTTCATGAACTTTTACTTTTCTGTGTTATGAGAATTTGAAATTGCAGGAAATTGTAAATGTGTCTTCTGAAACAGTTCATGCAGCTCAAATCAAACTACATTTTGTCAGCCATAAGTAATGATTCACCTACTCTTAACCTCAATCTAGTCACGTTTACTGCTTCACTGCAAGGGACGAGCAATCGCTTTGTCCTTCAAGTCACAGTGAGCCGTAAAACTGCTCAGTTTGACTGTCAAATTTACCTAAAAGATCTGAGGCGAAGCAGGTTGACAGAGTTAAACAGAGAAACATATCAAGTCTAAACTTCAAGCTGCAAGAGCAAAAAACAACTCAACAAGAAGTCTCAAACACATCTACAGACTGTTCATTAGAAACAGTCAAAACCACCAACTAAAAATAAGGATGACTGATATCAATCTGTACATTGGTTGAGACGTGGTGGAGCCGACTGCTACAGTCACACTAGGTGGGAAAAGCGAAGTATTCAGGACCTTATGAGACTCTCAGTAAAAAAAAATTAAAAAGAAGAAGAATATTAAATAACGCAAGTAAAAATACATAAGTATCACAGTACACTTTATGTATAGCGTTAACATTTTTTTTAATACTAAAACAGAGTTGTAAATAAATATAATTTAAAATGAGTGCTGCAATGCCTACATTATGTCTTTCATAATGTATGCGAAAGTAAATTTAACTTTTTTGTCATTCTGGTCTTTATAATTCTGGTCATCACAAAAAAACCATTACAAGTTACACAATGATGTTAGCTGGTTAATTAGTCAAACTATTTGTTTCATTTAAATTTGTCTTTCTTGTAAGCTTTGGAAAAGAATAGTAGCCTTTATTCAGCTAGTTGACCAGCAGTCTGCAAAAATAAGTGGGGAATGGGGCAGAAGAATTTATCTTCCAGGAAAAAAATGTAGGCAGCTACAACTCTCACATCACATATGGATGATGAGACAAAATAGATTAAAATTTGGGCTAACCTTGCTAAAAAAAATTCGCATCACAACAATATGTTCTTGCAGCAGCAGTCAAACTTTGGCTTAGTTAATGTATTTCCATGCTAAGCTTTTTTTATTGCCAAATAGTTTTACCAAAATCACTACAGGAGTATATTTCACATGCTACAGCTGCAAACATGACTGGAAATGTGTTTTTCTGACCATTAGCAATTTAAAGTCTGCAACCTTTAGAGACGTTTTGATAAGTATTGTTGCATTACAAACACAGTGATGGACTGCAGGAAATAGTGGGAACTCTTTATCAAACAAAGAACGGGTTTAGATGAAAATCATGTAAGCAATAGCAAATTTTAAAGAGAAAAAGTTAGAGGAGGTTATATAAAACGTTCAATCACGTTCCCAGCCAGAGAGAGGCTGATAAAACAGCTACGTCCGGGTTAGAAGATTGAGGAAGCGAGTTCAGAGCAACGCTAAAACCGCGTGGACCAGTACCATAAACCAACTGAAATATAAATTACTGTTGTAAGATTCGGGAATAAACATTAAAAACGTGTAAAACTGAAATGAAAATCTTGTAACGCCCAGTTGGCCTCGCCTCGGTGCAGCAGTTAGCGCCCGCAGTTAGCTTGTAATGCCAATTTTACCCATTCATCTTCATTCATACACGGACTTAAAAGAGTCCTTACCCCAATCTTCGCTCGTCAGTAGGTTATCGGCGAAGAATCGGCTGTCCAGATCAGACAGTAAATCCGCAGTCATCGCCACAAAGGCGGTGTGTGTTTGGACAGCAGGAGTCTGCAGTCAGACGTGATAACAGCAGCTAAACAAGCATATACTCGATGAAACTCTAAGCTTTATCCACAAGCTAACGCGCTAATTCTAGATTAGGCCACCATTTGCGATGTGAAGTAATATAATTTATTTATATCGAGTAGAAAACTGTTTTTTTTTTCATGCCCTCCAGTCAAATTATCGATCCTTCGTTTCGCTTTGCATATGACAGAATAGGAAACGCATTTTCCAGAAAGTCACCGCCTACCGCCTCGTTGGTTTAGCCAATGAGAGTAAAGAAGGCTCTGATCGACACAGATAAGAACCAATGAAATAGCCGGAAGACTGTGATTGGGCAGCTAGTGAACCTACTGTTAAACAGGACCTTGTGGGACATCCCTTTAAAGATGATTCTGCCCAATAAGATTGCGGATTTTTGATTGACAAAAACCCTGAGCCAAACAACGCGATAATGTCCAGCGCAAACAAAAATAGTTACGAGAAGACTCACGTGGATTCAAGCGTTGTAGCAGAAAAACTGGCCTGTGTCAGACTAGGATGTTTTCCAAACATAAAGCAATTCATTGTTCATTTTAGAAAAAAATAAAAGAAACATTTACAAAACATTGATTTCTATGGGATTAGGACCAGTTTTGAAATGCTATGCATCTTGCGGGGCTGGAGGTGTTATATAACCAAACAGGGAAGAGATGATCACACTAACATTTTAAGCACAAGTTGCTTTTTCAGTGTCGAAAGAGCCCTCTAAAAATCAATTTCAATTTGCCAGAAGGTGAATCATGCACTGTAAAATCACAGTGGCTGTTGATTCATCAGAGGGAGAGTTTATTTGGAAAAGTAAGACACAGGACTCAATTTTTGAGTTTCCATAAAAGTAAAGTCCAATCCATTTTAAAAATCTATTTTTGATGTAAAATGTTTTTCCAATTTTTTTGAACCGTATGTGGTGTAATTTGAGCTATGTCCATCATATTTTAGTATGCCTTGTGTAGTTGTTTTTGACTTACTATTTTCAGAAAATAGAAATAAATTTTTTTGTCCTACTGCAGGGTAATTCAAGAGTAAAATACAAGCATGCATTTTGAAAGTGAGATTTAAAAAGAGCCTAAAAACTGAAACTGAGAAAAAGAATACTATTCAGTTATTAAATATAGCATACTCAAATCAAAAGAAACTTAGAATAATTTTCTTTTGAAGTGTATAAAATGTGTATATTTGTACATTGAAAACAGGAACAAAGAAGTTGAAAAATGGACTGTATAAATAACAGCAGTAATGTTCTGTGAGATGAGAAAAAGTGAAAACAACAGCAGTGAAGAAAACATTGAATGAGTTTGATGGCTGCAAAGTCAACAACATTATGCAATCAGACATCACCTGTCCTGATGCTGATTATGCTTCTTATCCTTTGTTGCATCCTCTGTTTAGGTCAAATGCATTTATATATTTTTTTATGGATCTTGTGTTTAGATTAATAATTACATAATTTATACTTAAAATTTAATGTTCTTTTAACTGGATGCATTTACACAGTCAGCCTATTCTTTCATGTCTTTCTTACAGCTGCAATGTCCATTTCACTCTTAAAACTCCCTTATAATTTAATGGTTTTGTTTGTGACTGGTCATCTTTTACCCACATATCCACAGACAGAAAACCCAAAAATTCTTACAGAATTAATTACTTAAATCTGAAAGTATAGGCATAAAGCCACAATTAGAATTCAGATTCCCATTTCCCCAGTCTCTAATGCTCAGATGTAAAAGGTCTCAGCTTGAGGAAGAGGAAGAAGGACAGAAGGAACATGTGGAAAAAAAAGATTGAGACAGACAAGAGGTTCATTTTTCCAGACAAACCAGGAACAGGACTTCTGCACTGCAGTCATATTTTCTGTCCTCTTGTTGTGAAGATGCTCAAGTTTATGATTCTCTGTCATGTCTGGTTCCTGATCCACGATGTGATCGACGGTGTTGAAAACTCCACAGGTACAGACAGATCTCTGTTGTTTCACTACTAAATACAATTATATTGATCATACAGCTAGTAATGTGTGCTTATAATGTATCGCAACATTTGATGATGAACAAATAATATTCAGCTTTATTGTGTTATTTTTTCCATGGTGATTTCAACTGATTAAATTAATAAAATCTGTAATAAAGAATTGCAATTACACATATTTTATAATGTGTAAGAAATTACTGAAACATAATGAATAACTACCTCATTGTAATGTCATTAGAATGAAGATTGAATTATATGAAACAGAACAGAAAAAAATAAGGTCTTACAAATATTGTTTTGTATTTTTTTGTGTAAATATTATTTACAGATGTTTCACATTTATTGTATTTTTTTTAACATATGTTCCAAAGTTTTGTCTCAATTCTCCATTACAGTTATTATTTTAGTCTGAGCGGATGACAGTGAGCCTGTTTCCATGAGATAAAACAGGAAGTGCAGGCAAGACAGGAAACAAGGCTAAAAGTCGACTTCCAGTTAGGTGACTGTCATAGTTAATATTAGTGTCATCTTGATACACAACTAAAATTCTATTATAACTGACATTCAAGCAAGCATCCTAAAAAAATTGTTTTTTCTTGTAATTTGGAGGGAATCTCAAGAGCTTAAGTACTCAGTTTGTTTGTCTCAAAATAATGTTCAAATTAAAAAGTAATTAACTGATTGCAAAGAGCAACTAAATGTTTTTTCCATTTAATTTTAATTGAATTTGAAGCAAAAAACTGAGTTTTTTTAGCCACTACATGCATGTATGAATTTATTGAAAATCGCAAACGCCAAAGTAAAATAAATGATTTTAAAAAGCAATAAGAGCAACAAACCTATATTTAAAATGAAACATAGATTTAATAATAATTTCCAACTCAGATCTTCAGGCTAAGAGCTTCAGGTTTTGGACCAGTCTCTCTCCATCAGAAGTGAACCGGTTTTCAGTATTGGAGGGTCATCATGTGTGCCTGCCTTGTGGGGGGTTTGCCGGCTCCAATGTAATCTGGACTCATCAGAACCGGAGGGTCCTGGTGACACGGCAGAGCAGCTACCAGACCAACGATGACCGTCAGCATTATGTTCTGTTGGGTGATGGAGGTCTCTGCGTGCTGAAGCTTGAGGATTCAGACAGTGGAGCGTATGACTGCAACCAGCAGCTGGTGGCTGAGCTGCAGGTGCTCACAGGTATGATAAGAATCCAGCAAAAGTGTTAAATACCAGCTAGGACATTCTTACTATTGTACACAGGAAGCTCTGTATTCTTGAACTGAACACTGCAATCCTTAAAGTGTAAAAACTAAAAGTCAGTAATCCTTCTGCTTCTGACACCCAGGGCATGACTTCACTGTAGCTACGGGCAGGACGCTTCTGCTTCCCTGCAGAGGCTCCTCTAAGTCTAAACACAGGTGGTTTAGACAGAGAGAAGGGCAAAAGGAGGAGGTCATCTTCACCCGTTTCAGAAATGGTACAGGGAAAGCGGAAATAGACGGGAGTCGCCTGAGCTACATAAATGACGCTCTGCAGATCACAAACCTGCAGCCAGAGGACGCTGGAGACTATTTCTGCAACAGAGTTCTGCAGGCAAAACTCACCATCCTGGAAGGTAGCTCGGTCAAATATTCAACTGGTTATTTTGTCCAAAATTTTGCAGTAATAACAAGAAAAAAAAACTGAGTTATTGATGATGAAAACTGAAATACAGATTTTATAGTCTTTTTAAGTAACCTGATTCTGTTATTTTTCTGTTATGATTCTTTATTTTGTATTTGCAGAGCTTTTTATCTTTCCTATGATTAGCAATTTCTTGTTCCTTTTTAAGTGCTTGATTAGAAATATAAATATTTTATATTCTTTAAATACAAAATTTTAATGCATTCAACAGAAATGTGAATTTGTAATTCTGAATATCGCATTTGCTTTAAATAAGGCAAAAATAAATTGAGGTCAGTGTTGAATCAATACATCCAACAGAAGGATTTGAACAGTTGTCAGTATTTACAACAAAATGTATATAATTGCTTACTCATAATGCTTGTCAACTGGTAGACTTTGAAACTTGAAAACTACATTTCAGAGCATGCTGTGCCAGCCAGCATCCCATCATCTACCACAATAAGAACAGTCTCATCTGTGTCAGGTAGGTTCTCCTTTCAAAATCATGTATTTAGTTTTTTTTTTTTTTTAAAAGACACAAAAACAATTCTACCAATGCACAGATTTTTACATTTTGTTTGTGTTTTTAGTTGTGTTTGAAACGCAGAACCCAGCAAAGAAGAGACCAGAGAATGGTCAGCCACACACAGTTAAGAGCAAAAAGAAATAATCTCAGTATTAATCTGTGGTTTAAATGTTCATTGTTTGTGCTTGTTTTTAGCTCTGCTGCTGGTCACTGTCATTGGTTTGGGGTTAATGATTGTCCTGATCGCTTTAGTCTGTATTTTCCTCACCAGCATGAAGTGCAGAAAGAGGAGGAGACACAGATATGCAGGTATTTATTCATGCATTGTTACTTGTTTATTTATCTGAATAATCTTCACTTTACTTCAATTCAGTTTTAGCTTTGAGGATGAATAGTAATGTAATAAGATAATTGCAAGTAATTATAACCAGAGGTTTGACAGTAATATGGCCATTAAAGCCGCTAATCAGGCATTTAGGAACTGAGTCACTGGCTCTACCCAATGTTTAATTTAACATCTAGGACATCTAGGAATCCAAATCTTAAGCAAAAGCCTTCAGTTTGACTTTTCTTAAAGGCACAGAGAACGATATTAGCAGCCATCTGGATCAAGATTTTATCATCTAATTCCTAATTCACGATATTAGGAATTCACTATTAATAAAGTAAACTGAGTTACTGCAAGTGACAAACATTTTATGAGCATTGTCCATTCTCTTCATTATCTTATGTATCCTGAATTCAGACGTTTCTCTGTTGTAGCAAAAAGACGAGAAGAGACAGAGCTGCAGCTGTGGATGACATATAATGCCCAGACTGGTAAATAAATAACTCAGTCAAATCTACTAAAGGAAAGTAACTTTGTCATTTAAATGCATTTAAATGATTCATTTTAATTGGCTGCAGAGTATGAGGTGTTTAAGCGTCCGTCCCTGCAGGATGACAGCATCCACTACGCCTCTCTGGGTCGACAGAGCTGGATCCACAGACCCAGCTGGTCTCCACCAGATCAGAGCACCAGTAATGTTGTTTATTCCTCGGTCATCTCCAGACCTGCAGTCAAACACACTTTCTCCTGATCCAGTTTATTTCTGCCATTCTTCGTCAAACAACAGTGAGAAGTGTTTGACCTTTTGTGTGTCAATTACTTCTAACTTTTAGCCTTTGATTAAAGTTGTTACAACATGAAGCACAGAAATCTTTTTTTTTTATCTCCTTGAGGCTTTATAAAAAGTAAATACAGTTAAATACTATGTCAGCTTATGTTTATTTGTTTTTCACTAACTGTAAAGAAGGTACTGAAAACATTTCATTTATATTTGTAACAAAGAGGAATGTCAACAAGATTCTGCAAATCAACAGTTTTGCAAAAAATCAGCATTTTACTTCTAAAACACGTTATGAAAGTTATATCATAAACATATTTACATTTGAGTTACTGAAAAGAATTGACCCATAATTGACAGTGAAATACAAATGTACACTTTAAAAAAAAAAAAAAAGAAAGACAGAAAAGAAGACGTAAGAAAACAAAGAAAATGGTATGCCGAGCTGAGCTGGTAATTTTTTCATACAAGGGAATTTCTTCACATCAGGATTTTGTATAAGTCCCCTCCATGCCCAGTGTTCAGCTTCTATTGATCATATTTACATTCTTCGTGTCAGTAGCTTACTGGTTATATAGCTGTAAAGCAGGAAGCAAAAAAAAAAAAAATTACAGCAGTTCCACAAAATTTTAACAGTAAAACAAAGACGAATGATAAAGCTTACATGATACCTCATATTCATCTTGAGAATAATGAGATTATGTTACCTGGCTATGTTGGAGATTTTGTGTTTATTCTTGCTGTGTTATAGCATCAGTTCAAAACTCTTAACATATCCTATATTTAATTATAATAATTAATAACATTTTATATCAGCTATTGAATTTGTTGCTATCCTGTACCTTTATTTTGTTAGGAGTCCAGATCAACTTCATATTAACTGACTCATTTGTATTTAATATGTATGTTTTCACATCGCAACAACAACAAAACTAACAATACTTTCTTTCTTCATCAGATATAACAGATTCATTTTTTAAATTTCAAATCATGATTTAAAAATGTGAACCGAACAATTTATTATTAGGTTGATCCTAAACTAAAATTGTAAGCTAAATTGCAAATTTATTTTCAGAATTGCTACTTTTGCTTTGATATTAATTGAAATTTAATTGCACATGAGGCTAAGAGGTGTTTAAAATACATTTCTATATTTTTCATATTGAATTGCACTGTAGTCCCGTATTGTGTCCTGCGTTGTGGGTATGGCAGGAGATTTGAAATATTAATATTTTATTTAGCACGACTGAAGAACTAAAGCAGTTATCTAGAAATCTGTGTATGCTCTAGATTTACTGGAAAAAATATAGTTTTTTGAAAATTAATTAGAAAACAAAACAATAGAAAATGATTTTACTTTTAAACTAGAATAAAGTTTCCTAAGAATTGAGAAATGTCATATTAAGAGTGGCTCAGCAGAAATAAAATGATCTATTTTCTGCTTGTTATCCATTTAAGTTTTTGCGTGTGGTCACTGTGGAATATGTGACCAAGTCTTCTGCTAATCCAGGTCTGGTCTTGACAGATGGGCGGGGCTTATCTGGATGCCTCAGACTGGAGTAATGTAAAGAATCTTCCTGCAGAAACAGACGTCAGACAAGAAGCAGAAAAGTCACATTCCTTGGTACCATGATGCAGGAAAGCATGGGGGAAAAAAAACATGTCTATTTACTTTCTGAAAAATAATAAGGCTGAATTTAAAATGAATGGATGTCACCTAACAACATTTAGATCAATTTTGTGTTGTAGGTAAATAACTTTCAGCTGTGAACTCATAATGTGAACTTGGCATACATCTACTGACCTCTGTGATCCTCAAAGAATGCTGTCTCCTTGGATTACAGTAGCAAGGGCCGAGTTTACCTGCAGATAAAGCAGAATACGAGTGAGGATGAAAAGAGATTGATCTGAAGCTCTGATTTATTTGGAATCAGTTATAGTAATCAACCTTGCATATTTTAAAAGGTTTTGAAAGATGTCAGTATTTACAGGTCACACGTATTTCAATTTGCAAAGCCAGAAGTGAAAAGGAGCGAAAGTAACTTCACATAAAAGTGAAGAAACTAAGTCACCAAGTGTCTCATCTAAACAGTAAATGCAGAACTCTGCTTGTTAACTGGGTGAAATGTAACCTGACACCAGATAGGCAGTGCACCAGATAATCACAAACACCATCAGAAAGCAGACTGCAACAAGCTTGTAGTTTTCGTTAGACTGAGGTAAACAATGTAATCCTATGTTAGACCACATCCTCAAAAGATTCTGCATTTATTCCTGAGCATGCTCTGGTTTACAGGAAATTATCAAAGCGAAAGTGAAAGAGCAGTTAGTAAAGGGATAAGTGAAACTAAGAATCAGTGTTCAGCTGAACTACCGAGAGAAAAGCTAGACTTGATTTCTTACCTCCTCTTGATAGATGTGTAACTTTATTTAAAGTAGAAAGAAAAGGCAATTGTTCCACCTAACGCTGAAGGACAAGGAGGCGGGTTTCCTTCCAGAAATCTTTTACAACATCGGAGCAAAATGTCAGACATAAAGCTTTGCCTGGAGGCCCTGTCAGCTCTCTCTGGCTGTACCGTTGAGGCAACAACTGGATCCTCGCAGCTCACCTCGCAGGATTTTGTCAACATTGTAGCCCTTAAAGAGTTTTACAAACAGGAAGGATTTAAAGAACTGGAGTACCCGAGCTTGGGAACTTTGTCCTTGCAGGACTTGGAAAATCAGGACATGTATAGCGCCCCACCAGCACTGACCCATGGACCCGTCAGTGCAAGCCTTAAACCAACCATTAAAATCAATACCCAAGACTTCTTCCATCCGCAGTATGACTACGATTTTACCAACATAAAGGTAAGAAGAAATCTTTCATTTTTTGCTTCGTAAACCCGTCATATGACAAAGACCTTAGGCAATAGAGCAGTCATAAAAACATGTTTGTGTTGACTTGAAACTGCAACGTAACAGTATCATTAAAACAGAAAGAACAAATACACATTTTACAAAACTACTGGGCTAACTCTGTTTCCGGAGCAGACTCGCTTTTTACTAAGGGAGGAAATGAGGACATGTGTACACATAAAATGTGATTGAGTTTTATTTTAAGCAAATTCATCTCACTCGGCACACATATGTCCTGGAATAAGGAAAGGTTGTAGTGAATGTGTCTAGAATAAATAAACCTATCATTTAAATTCTTAATTCAAATATTTTTTATCAATATTCGATGACTTTCTGTTTCTCTGGGGCAAAAATATGTTGTACAGTAGCCTAGTGCTCTTAAGGACTCTTCAAAGTAGGAAATATTTGACAGCATGTCAATCAAATCCTGCAGAGATGTGTTGAAGTCACAAAATGTTAAAATTATCTAGCTATCTCTCTCCAGTTGTTTGTAAGTGTGTCCATATTTTTATGTTAAAACCACTAACATCTGTGCATATTGATGGGATTTCATGTAAGAGATCAACACAAAATTGTATGAAAATGCAGACCAGGTATATTTTAGGACATTTTCACATCCTAACTAAGGGTGGCAATAAGCATAGAAACAGCTGTAGAAAAATGACAACAGATTTTTCTCAAAATCAGAAAGTGCTTTCCTGAGCATTCCCACCTATTCTTTAAACAAGATTAAAGAAGACACATTTTGAACTGATAAATATATCTTGATTTACAGGATGGTGATAAGGTATTTATGCGTGGAAATGAGAAGTACGTTCGCCCCTGTGGATGGAAACGGATCGCTCTGCGCGTTGAACAGAAGTATGAAGATGGGGACAGTTGGCTGGGGACAGGGAACAATGCCTGGCCAGTCTCCTACCATGGCCACAACATGGACGGCTCCCTTGGCATCATCATCACCCATGATGGCCCACCAGACGACGAGCCAAACTTTCTGGATGCCGGAGCCGCCGCTTTGCGAAACCCCGACACCAGAGGCAGGGGGGTGTACTCAACCCCAGATATCAAGATGGCAGAGAAGTACTGCAAGACATTCAAGTACAGCGTGGATGGGAAGACGTACAAAGTAGTTCTTCAGAACCGTATCAACCCTCAGAAAAGGAAGAGCTGCCAGAGAGAGGGCGTCTGGTTGGTGTACATCCCAGAAGGCAGCACCAACCTGCAAGAGAAAGCCATTATTGAGAAGTCCCTTCGTCCGTATGGACTCCTGATAAAGCAGGAGTGACTTTTTGGATGCTTGGAAGATTCAGGGATATCAACCTTCTTTCACCTTGGGGAAATAGAAATGCTTTGCAAAAAGTGTGAGATCTGTTTCAGTCAGGGGCATGTGGACATGATTATGCTAGTTTCTTCAGTTTCTGTTTGCTATTGTCACTTTAGCTAAGTGATCACACAATCTGCCATTTACCGATCAGAAACACCAGGCTCCTCCCAGCCTGCATTATCTTCACCATCCTTTTCTCAAATTTGCTTGTCTCATATTTTTATTATTCAGAAATAAATAAACAGATCTACTAAAAATACAAATTGGATGAACTGATGAAAAGAGAAAGCAAACAAGATGTAGAAAAGTCTGTAGTTCTCTAAGTTGATTTACACTGGCACATAAAAACTTTTAGTTTCTATTTTGATTGTAGCCTAGTTTTATTTTTATTAATTATTGCACATAATTGAACCAACTTGACAAAAAAAGAATGCTCCATAATGACTGAGTAATTCAATGAGCAATAAATTATTAATTTGCAAATATTGTTTCAGTAATATTTTGTACCTTTAAACTTCATAATGTGGTGTGGGGTTTTTATGTTTACTCCCTAGTCTAATTGGAAATCTTTTTGTCTGAACTGATATTTTACTGTGATCATCTGTCTGTCTATTGTGAACTGAAAGTCTGTCACAAATATGTCATAAATATTAAAATGGAGAGTACAAATCCTTTAGCTATGATGCTTTCTTTAACTTGAGTATTTTACTGCATTAGTTTTGACACTGACATCAAGTTTGACATTTAGGAACTGCTCCTCCTTTTCACAAAGTGAAGATCTGATTGCAGAGCAGCATTCACTTCTCACCAATTCATTGTTTATTTTTACACTTGCGTCATTTAAATCCAGTAAAACCGGCTTTAAAACACATTGCATCTCAAAGCTCATTCACAGTATGACTAAAACGTGCATTACACAGAGTGTTGAATAAATGTTTCTGTTAATACCAATAATGTCCATATTTATCACAATTTTTTATGTCAGTTTCTATATTTATAGGATATTTATTGTGTTTCAGTTAAGTGCAGGAACTTGGAGCTTTTGATTAAAAATACTCTCAAGTGGTGTATTTCTCTTTAGCAAATGTACAAGACTTCATAATGTCAGAGCTGAGTGATGAAGCATAAGCTAATCACTTGTGTTAAAACAGGAAAAAATAAACTTTAAACTAGGACAATATATAAAGTCTTTTTGTCCCTTGGTTGTAAAAGTGGTAGATGAGCGGTTTATACCACAGGGAATGATCATGCAGCACTGTTGGATTTCACAAAATGCAGAGTTTTAAAACTACACTGGTCTGTTGCTTATATATCTGCGTATGTTAAGGTCAGTAAAGTCACCAAACGTACACGATCAGATTCCATTAGTAAACACAATGCAAGACCACCAGACATAAAAGATCTTTAAGCATTAGTTTTGTTTTAAATGAGTCAAAGTGACTTTACATAAAGGACAACTGCAGTTCCAATAGGTGAGCAGCAGAGGGCAGTAGGAGAATACAGTATGCTTGCTTACTTGCAAGATGAATGAAGTATGCAGGTACAAACCAATATACCAAACAGTTTAAAATTCTCTTTTACAAGAAAAAGTTTTTTCAAACTTTCATCTGAGCTAAAATTTTTTTTTTTTTTAAAGTCCCTTGAACATTGAACTCAAAAATGACCATAAATTTGATAATCATGATGTATTATTCTGATGATGTTGAGCAGCAGTTTTAAAATAAAAGCAGTGCTACAGAAGTAGAAGAAGTGTCAACAGGTGGAAGATGTAAGTGGATATGCACCTGAGCAAAGGTAGAGTCCAATCATCAGGAAGGAAGAGAGGCCGAGTAAACCCGGAAGGACACAGATCCCCAGACTCCAACAAGGTTGTCCAGCTTTTCTTCCAGCAGTGTCCTCATCTACTCCTGGACATAACAAGAAAAATCCATCAAGATCACAAAGACATTATTTTAATGCTGAATTGTTCCATGTCAGTATTTACAGCTGTAATGCAAAGCTATGAAACTCACACTCCTTTGAGTTTCTACTTGTTTCAGTCTTCATTTAGATGTTCTAGTAAACCTGTACTGAGATAATCCTCTGGGAACCAGTGCTAATTTGCACAAACTGTAGATTATTGCAATGCACCTGCATTTGAGACTAAAATCCATTCTGGTGTTGTGAGTAACTGGTTTCACATGTACTTAATGAATCTTAATCTCAGATATATTTCATACTTACATATTGAAAACAATTATTTTATGTTCTTATTCAGAATTACCATCTGTTTTTACTGATATATATATATATATATATATATATATATATATATAATATATTTTTTTTTTTTTTTTTTTATATATTTTTTTTTTTTTTTTTTAAATATTAACACAAAACAAAACATTTTGAAGATAGTGTTTCTGATGGGCAAAGTGAATTTCTGCCCAGGGTATCGCAACCTGGAGGGGAACACCGACGCTCTCAGTAAATACACACTAAGAAAATATTCCTAAAGCTGAATTAAAGGTATAATATTTAAAGACTTGAACTATTTTGTGATTTATGTTCTATTTGTAAATTAACAAAATCTCACCCAAGGCTGAACTCCAGCAGAGTTACTATTGATCGATATCAATTACAAAGTAAACCCCAAAGAAATGAAGAACAAAATATTCACTTTACAGCTTTACAGACAACAAAAATTAAGCACTGAACACCATTAAAAACCTGTGAAGTGCACAATTTCCACCAAATATTGATTACTGAACTCTTCCTGAGTTAGTATTGTTTTTTCTAAATTAATTTAAACTTTTTTTTGTGCACGTTTTTTTTTTTTTTTTTTTTTTTACATTATTTGAGGTCTCAAAACACCCCATGTCTTTGTTATTTTGACCATTTCACATTTTCTGCAAATAAATACACAATTTTTGCTTGGAATTTCAGACATGTTTTTAGCAGTTCATAGAATAAAAGAACAATGTTAATTTTACTCAAACATACACCTATAAAAAGTAAAATCAGAGAAACTGATAATTAACTTTTTAGTTAAGAGACTAACAGTTTCTTCACTAAATATATATATTATATGTATACAAAAGATCTAGTCTTACCATTAAGTTTCAAGGGAATTCCTCTGCTTACACACACCTTATCTCCACAAAACCCAGAACAGAAATACAGCCCAGCATCTTGCTCCTCCACAGCCTGGATCTCCAGTCTGACCAGCCCGCTATTCAAATTTCCTGTCCATATTGTGCGACTGGAGTAAGTATTAACGGATTCTTCTTTTTTTTTTAGTTTACTCTCTGAGACTCTAAGCAGTGGCAACAGCTGATCTGAACTCAGCAGGTACCAGGTGATAACTGAGCTGGATGTAATGTTGCAGGTCAGAGAGACATTCTGTCCCCTGATGACCACCAGTGGGTCGTGGTGAACATGGAATGGAGATGACCGGTGACATCCTGCAACACCTGAGGAGAACAGACAAGTCAAAATCATGCAGACCAAAAGTGTTATTATTTCTCACGTTTGTTCAGCACATCAGCCCTGATTGAAACATTCTCTTTGAATGGGCAAAGTGGTATAAAGTAGTCGCTGTGATACTACAATTTAAGATGCACCTCAACAGTTTTCTGATGCTTAGTTTTAATAAACATATCACCATACACTACCAGTGGTGGAAAGAGTTGGTTATGATAAAATTTGATGGTAAACTAAGTGATTTTTTCATGTGATGAAGAAATTTAGGAGTGCTTGACCATCCTTAGTTTATACTCTAAAGCAATCTGTTTTAGTTTCATAAAACTATTCTGAAAAGAGATTCTACAAACGTTTTTAAGATTTAATCAAAATTTATAATAGAATAGAAATAAAGCTGTTTTTTTTTATTAGCTGCACAAAAAAATAACCCATTCTGTTTTGAGTCCCCTTTTAAGATTACAACAAATCAGATTAAGCTCATAATCTATACTTTGATGCATGAAGTGGGAATTTTCCTTTATTTTTGCAGGATTCAAAACTTTCACTTTTATCAATGAAACTGAAGCACTTTCTTTGTCTTTTATTCTATGCAATAAAAAAAACTGCAAAAGGGTCAAAATCAAAAGGCATTGGTCAGGAAAAATCAGAACTTTGCACCTTTATCAAAATACATTTATCATACAGTCTGCAATGCATGGCTCATGTAAAAAACTTCACATGGTAGCAATCGATCTCTTCTCCCTAAATCATTGACTCCTAAAATCCGAAACTTCAAATGCTCTGTTTTAAATTTCATGGAAATTTTTTAAAAAGCTTGTGGAAGACTTCATATAATTTCATATAAATAAGTATTATAATAACTGAGTTTTGGATTGATAAAATTGCTGTATTCAGTTGAAAGAAGATCAAACGAGACCAAGCCACAAGACCAATAAAACCTCAGACACATTAGAAAACCAAAATTCTGAGTAAATTGTCTGCATTTAAAACAAGAAAATAATGAATAATTGATAACTTACAAAGAAATATGAAAATCCAAAAGAGACCTGCCATTATCCTAAAGGAGACAAATACTCTCAGAACGAACTGGTTGCAGGATGAATGCTGACTGAACTGAGCTCAGTTTGGTGTCAGTTTTTTATTTTTGTGGGAGGAAGTAAACGAGGGACTTTGTTTGGCCACAGAGTTCACAGGGAGACCACCAACACGTTTCTGCTGCTGCAGAAAACGGAAGAGTAACTGTTTTTCCAGTGAATACTGAAAGCAGCCATTCTCCTGCTTTAGGTATCACAGTTAACTTTCATTTCTACAGAGACCATAAACTGCTTGGCTTGCATCAATCGCTATTTTAAAAAAAGCCTTTCAGTAACCCCCACCTTACCTCTCTTGCTTATTTCCCATACATGCAGGTTTTTATAGACTTTGATTCATTTATATATTTCATTGCTTTTAAATAATTACAAATCTGGTTCAGTCAAAAATTTTATTCTGTTGAGATGTTTAGGACTTTTCACTAAAAGTGAAACTGACAGTAAACTAATATTAATTAAGTAAAAATAAAAATAATAGCTGAGATACAAAGTTCTTTAAGCAACATTAGTATTTGGGAAGTTTTTAAAATGTATCTTATTTTAATATAAGTACTATAAATGTGCATAAGAAGTTTTACTTACAGAAAACCCATCAAAGAGCGACTCAAAATTTTACTATACAAAGTAATACTATATTACTACTACTACTAACAATAATAATAATAATAATAATAATAATAATAATAATAATAATAATAATAATAATAATAATAATAATAATAATACTTTAAACGAGTATTTTGGTACGGAGACTACTACATACAAATACATCCATTTGTAAGAAAAAACGTTCCCCAGACCCATGGAGGAGGGAGAAGGATCTCGCTGCACGAAACAGAGAGGGGCGGGGCGGGGATCACCGTCAGTTTCATAGCAGCTGTATGACCAGTAAATCGAAACTTAGGCAGGTCAGCGCTGCTTCTAAACTGGTTGTCAGCTGAGAGAAGCTCACACTTCTCCCAGCAGCAGAGGGGTGCAGAGGTGGAGAATCAACTAAATTTCCAAAAGTAAACACAATGGGAATCCACCAAAAGCAACTCTGGTAAGAAATGTATTTTATTTATTTCTAATTTGATATTTAAATGTAATGATGTTTTATAAAAATGTTGTGTGCCCATCTTAACCATTTATTTAATTATTGATTGATTTATTTTATCTTAAACTCTTAATAAATATGCATTCTCCTTCCATGAAATAAAGCATGCATTTGTCTGCAGGGTGCAGGGAAAAGCATAAGCGTAGCCACCAATTTCTGCACCACGTTAAAGTTCACCAGAGAGGGCGCTTTAAGTTTCGTTTTTCACGAAGCTGAAACCGTTTACGCCTATGTAAAAACATACATAGCTGTCATATCACATGCTTATTTCATGAGTGTACTTACTATTAGTTTCATTTCTTTGGTTTGGCTCCCATGGAGGTTTCAATCATAAATAACAACAACAATAAAAAAATATAAGATATGGACAACAAATATTTAATCTGTATTATAATAAATTCATAAATCACTACAAAATAATATTTAAAATCAATATTTTATATATCCTGTTTTAAAAAAAACTAAATAATTACTATTTTTTAATTATAGTACTTATTCTATAATAAATACTATTATAGTATTTATTTGTCCTCACCTAGACATAGATGAGGACAACTTACCATAGATTGTATTGAAATACAGTCTGTGTAGTGTTTTTTCACTTATTTTTGTTTATGTGTCATTTTGAATTTGTAATTAATCCTAACAATACAATGATGAATTGAAAACTGATAACTTTTTTATTTTATTTTTATTTGTTTGTGTGGGTTTTAGGTCTTTTATATTTCTACAAGGTTTCCTTACTGGAAATTTAGTTGGTGAGTACCTACCTTGGATGAATCAAAAGATTTCTGTTGTTTTTTTGTTTTTTTCTTAAACAAATTTCAAAGTTACCTATTACCTGGGGTTAGTCAGGGTTTGTTGACAGCAACAATAGATTCCCAGAAATGTTAGTTAGTAACTGCCAAGAAAAACATCAGAGATGAGGGACTTCACAAATATTATAAGCTAATGAAACCTTATTCTTCAGCTCTTTTTGTGCTTTCTTATGTAAACAGGGCAGGATTTACGAAGCCAATTTTAGGTTTCACACACAGTAAGATAAATTAAAATAATTGGTGTTTTGAACACTCACCATAGAGCAAACTACAAACAAACTACCTGTCCACATCTTTAGCATGAGTTACAACTTTAATATTTGTAATATATTCCAGTTGTTTTCAATATTTTAAACAATTATTTTTTACTTTGTTTACTTTACTTAAACTTTGGTCTTTATCAGTTGGTGCAATTACTTCAGAGAGCAAGAAGCAAGGCACATCCTGGGAAGGTTGCCAGTCTATCACAGGACAAAATCAGTACATTCTGACAATTTTCAAGAGATTAACTAATCTTACAGTTATAAGTTAAACATGAATGAGTAGTCTGGATCTTTGACTCCACGTGATGTGGAAATCAAAGTAAGAAAACACCTCCTGAAAATTTTTCCTGGTCTTTCAGATTCTTCAGCTCTGCCCTCCGTTGCGAACCCTGTGCCCGTCTTGACCGAGGTGGGGAACCAGGTGGTCCTTCCCTGCAGCTGGAAGGACTCCCAGAAAGAAGTGTCAGCGTCCGGCTGCCACATCCAGTGGATGACTCCGCCATACACTGTGTTCGAACAACTTGGAGAAGACAGGTGGCAGGCGGCGGAGTACGAGGGCCGGGTGGAGGTGCCTCTGGAGAAACTCAACTCCGGGGATTGTTCCCTAATCATCAAGGACGTTCAGATCAGCGACACGGGGAGATACGAGAGCTTCATAGTGGTGGATGGCGTGAGGTCCCAAAAGAGCAGAGTTTTCATTCAGAGTGTCAAATTGTCTGTGACAGGTTAGTCTGGGAGTAGGAGGGATGGTTTGTTTTGATTTAACAATGCAATCTCTCATTTAGGTTTTCTCCATATTAGAATAGAACATTTTCTTTTAGACATAAAAGTACAAACATGGACATTTTTATGTATTCTATTTCTAACATCACTTCTTCCTTTAACATGGCATTTCTCTGGTATTCATTCATTTAAAATAATACATTTCTATAAAGCTGATTAAAGTGGATTTTTTTTATCATGGGCTCTGTTTTCGTCTTTCTCTTTTCATAAACAGTATGATCTCTCTTGGTCTCATTGCTGTGAATGTTAATGCATTTCCTTCGTATTTTGTTTTTGCCACTTTCAGACCACAAATCCCAGAAGAGTCTTTACCAAGGGGACGACCTGGTTTTGAATCTGTACACCCCCCACTCATATGCAGTGGTCTTCCAGAGCAGGTTAGTTAAACATTTAAAGAAAACTCTTTGATCAGCTCAGGTCGGTGATCAGCAGGATAAATAGAGGAAGAACTTCCACTAGTTTTGATTTATAAAGGGATCAACTAAAAGTACTATGTACTTTAATACACTCATTTTGAATTTTATGAAAAATAAAGATCATAATAGGAAAACCTGCTTGGTAGATCTTAGTTTGTTTTTTTTTGTTTAACTGTCTTGCTCCGTGGCAGACAGTGTGATAATTTAATTTTCAAACATAACATGGGTCCTTCAAATCACAGATTTACTAAGTCACTAAAATTTCTCTATCCAACTGCAGCACACTCTCTGAGGTTTTGTTTGTGTCGACACAATATTTTGGTTGCCTATTAAGCAAACCTGTTGCTATTAAAACATGCTTGATTATTGTAAATAATCACTCAGTGCAACAGCGTTAGGATTTTGGAGTTAAAACCAAAGCAGAGAGAAGCTTATCGTTTGGTTTTGTTCGTACACAAAAGTGTTTGGGTTTCTCAGCACTTTCAGCATCCAGAAAACAATTTCCCCAATAAAGCTCATCTTGTTTTAATTTTCTCTCGTGTTATACAGAAACAGTTCGGAGTGGGTGAACCTGTGGAAGAGAGGGGATGAAAACAACGAACGCATAGAAAAACATCATCAGCTTGAACAATTAACCATAAAGAATCTACAATACTTCGATGAAGGAATATACAAAGTTTTGGATCAGGACGACCTCTCTGTCAGCACCATAAAGCTGTCCATAAAGGGTGAGAGCACAGCTTCCTGTGAACAATGTGAAGTTTAGATTTTGGTATGAAACTTAAAATTAAAAGTTAAAATTGATCATACTTATTACTTACCAATGTAAATGTATGTCTTGCATACTTTTTGTCTTAAAGAGTAGTTTAATATCAACCATCATCTGCATCATAATCATTTTCAGTATTTCTGCTTTCAGAAAACTCCCCGTCATCGAGAATCCAAGAAAAGCGGGAACAAATTCTGATAGGTGAGAATACCTGACTTCAGAAAGCAAAACAGTCAGTGACCTTTGCACTTTCAGATCAACCAACCGAGTCTTGGTTTTGTTTCCTAGCAACAATAATTTTTATCGAGCAGAAGTAAAAACATCTATTTTCAAAAAGTATGATAGCAAACCAAAGGGGTTAAGTCTATTTTATAGTTTTATGTCTCATTGTGAGATGCCGATATATATGTTACTCATACAAACATATCACACCAATAAGTGATTCCTAAAGGAAACACTTTGACCTGAAATAACAATATATATCTGTTCTGTCTTTTCAGATGCTGCAGCTACAAGCAGCTGTTCAGCGCTTCTCTTGTCTGTTCTGTTATTGTGTTCCCACATTATTTATCTTCATTGAGACATATTTTTCTGGAACCATATATACAGACTTTAACACTCTCTGACCAGCAGACAGAGAGGATTTGTAAATAGGAGAAGAAACAGTGAGCCTTGCAATCTTACGCACGATTGTAATCAAGAAATACTTCTATTAGTGGTCTGGTCCATTTCTGATGGTCAATATTTTATATTAAAAATGTTTGGTTCCAGTTACACCGTTTTGTGAACCACTACTGGCCAAATGATGTAGTTCTGTTTGAGATATTTTTATAGTGTATCTGTAGACATAATTAGGCCTATTGATTTTCTCTTTCTGTGTACATATTTAATCTACCCCACATGTTGTATCTTTTAAGAGGGTGTTTTGGTCTTTTCCCTCCTTTCTGTTAAATACCGATTAACTTCAAAATTCAGTAATCAACATTTAAAACTCATCTAGTTTTCTAATTTATAAAAAATGTACATAGTCTAAAACCTCTCTAACAGAATTTAAGAGACCAATAAAATAATTCACTAAAATTATGACTTCAAAATTTTCTGTATTATTTTTTGTTGCACCAATTTGTGATTTTACAAAAAACTGTTAAAATTATAAACAAGGCTATTTCAAAACTGTTTCTTGATTGTATTTGTAGAAAGGATTTTTTAAAAATAAAGTAAATTAGAAATTGACGTGTGATCTCCTATCTGTAAAAAATATTTATTATTTAATTTAAATCTCAAATAAAGAAATTTAAAAAAAAGTTTTTTTGTTCTTTATTCATTTTTAACTCATTCAGAATGTTTGGTTAAGTGGGAATGCCTTAAAACACACGTTCACAGGAATAGATGCAACTCAAAGGACAAAGAAACAAAGACATGCTGCAACTTGAATAATCTTTTTATCCAGGACTTCCTTCACACTGAAAACAATATGTCCTCTAAGTTATCGCCTTTCTCTTTGTGAACAAATCGGGTTTACTCGTAGTCTTTCTCCATTTGTGTTTTTGTATATTTTTGCTGTTTCTTCTGACCTATTATATTTTTAAATCAAGCCAATTTCACCTACTCTTTGGATGTTCCATGTCCATTTTGACAAAAAAAGACAAATCAATAAAAAGTGATTGGCTCATAGTCTTAGGAATATGTAATTTGAAAATATATCATTTTGAATTTAAGATATTTAGGTTTGGTCAGGGTCCCTAATCTACATAAATTCATCATAGATGACTGGTTTAAGGAGGGATCAGAATCATGTTAATTAAAATAGGTTGGAATTTAAAATTATCAGAAAATATTACATTCTTAAATCACATGTGAATTGATCAGTTTCTCTCTTAATTCATCAAGATATTAGATATGTTGCTGACATATCTAATATGGAATGGGAGCAGGCTGGGACTAACAGACGTGTTGATTATCAGTTGTGTTTTTCCAAATATTAATGCTTTTCAGAGGTAAAATCCAAAGATTGATTGTTCTAAACAAAGATAAGAGATGCTCCTTGACTTTTAAATTCAATCCTATAACAATAGAATTTGCTGACATGGAAAAAAATGCACCTTCCTTAAGGGTCAGCGGGGCTTTTCTCTGCCTTGTGCAGTGTTATAAATCACAAAGAAATGCAAGTTTCTTCCATGTTAGGAGAGCAAGATTGTGGGCATTTTCCAGAGAAAATCATACACCTTCCTTCATACACATCCACAAAATAACTGAATCCATCATTTCAGCCACACAAATGTTTCAATTGCACCCAAATATTTTGTTCAACTGTTTTAGTAACTAGTGGGAAAAATACAGCAACATTTAATTCCTCTGTAATCTAAATTTGGAAGATAATTTAAACGCACAAATTTAGCAACTGGCTGAATGATCGAAATATTGGTGGTTTACGTTAATATCAGCAACATTTACACCAAAGTTGCATACCCAATCGGGGGACATTTTGGTTATGTTTAAATGAAAGTTTTTAATTTTCCAAGTTCACAGGTACAAAATGTGTGTTTTGCAGTTTTTTCAGAGGAATATATGCAAAAGTTCAATGATGAACGTCAAACGTAAAGATGAAACCTCCTTCTATGTAATCTGTGTTGGAACTTATTTCACATGTGGGAAAAAAAAAAACAGGGGGCTTTCAAACTTCAATGAGTCTGAAAAAGGAATGACGAAGTGAGCTCAGAAGGGTCATTATTTCCAGGTTGAAGCTCAGCGTTTTAGCAACCCTCCCACTCGTTAAAAGTTGGGTTTGTGCTTCTTCACCTCGACCATGAGATGGTGAAGGTTGATGAGCTCTGAGCGGACGGCCAGGCTGCGGAACGTCGGCTGGTTCAGAACCTTATGAAAGCCGTGGTAGTATTGGATGAGTTGAGTCAGAGCGCCCTGCAGGGCAGGATAAAGAGCAACAGTTGGTAAAAGTTTGCAAAATGACTTTGTGCAGCGCCCCTTTCCTCCTACATGAAGAGGAGGAAAGGAGGGCGCTTCAACGTTGCTTCCTATTTGTCTACTTGAAGTGGATGTGCAGAGGAAATGACAAACAGAATACTTTGCATATACCACATATTTGTTCTTTGACATTTATTAAATTGAAACAAACTTGGGATATTTTGGAATAACCATAATCTGACAGTCCAGAGGTTTAGAGAAATGCAAGATCCTGTAGAAACATGTTTTTCTTCTGATAAACATAATTAATTTATATTTATCAAGAAAGAAATAGACTTAAATATTTTTGTTTATAGAGGTGATGCACTTGTATTGCTGAAATTTATATGGTGTATGTCAAAAGACAAACAACCGTTTTATTCTCGCTGTCTGACATCCAAATCAAAATTTTCTATAGGACTGAGATCAGAGTTTTGTGATGGCAACTTCAAATGACTGATTTTGTTCCAACAAACTTACATAAAATCTGCATGATTTGTTTTCTAAGGATGCAATTTTGTGCAGCGCACCAGTCCCTCCTACAGCAAAACACCCACAGGAATGGTCAATTTATTTGACGATTCCAAATGAAATGGTCAATATACCAAACATTTTAAGTTTCATTTGACTCCAAAAATTTAAGTCTTAGTCCAAGAATGCACTTGCAAACATTTCATGGATTTTTTTTTAATTGCTCTAATAGATTTTTGTTTTCTGAGTGGCATTTCAGTCTAAGTCAGTACATAACTTGTTTAATTGTGACATTTATCAAACATGTTTTTGTTTGCTTTTTTTGTTTTGGGGTTTAAATGCACATTTGATGCCAAAACACATTCAGCTTTGGGATACAGACCCATTCTCCTTGTTGAACAGCATCCTATTTATGCTGATTATAATAATTTTCACCTACAATCACCTGAAAATTTTATACATTTTGACATTTAGTATATAAACATTTTTTGTGAACACAGCTGGTCATGCTGAACCTTCAGCACTAGAGGAATCAGACACTAGTGCTTGTTTGGATAACATTCTTGTTTAGTTGCTCACCTGTATGATGCTAGTTCCATTTTTAAAGTTAGTGAAGGATCTCATGACGTCTTGACTCATTGACTCCACCGACTGCTTCCAGGTGCTGGAAAACCCTCGGACCAGCTGAGTGATCCGAGCTGCACACAAACACTTCTGTTATGCACTGCAAACATTTCATTCTTTCTCTATTTCTCTTCTGAGGAAGAAATGGGCAGTACGGTTACGTTTTCTTGCATTCTGTGATTTATGCTGAACTTAGGCCAGTTTCCTGTCTGGCTTCATATACGGCAGAAACACTTCTGATTGTGGTTGTCGGGGGAAATGATGTTGTTAAACAGACAAAACACAAAGGATGTGGAAAGCTGAACTTGCTATTTCTACACATTTTGACAGATGAGAAATAAAACTGCAAGGACAGTGGAAAGCTAAGGAGGAAGTGTCACATTGCTCAGTAAAACAAAACTGAAGGCTGAAATGAAACAAACAGGTAAGTAAATCCCAGTCATCCGTAGAGTGCAGAAGAGCATGAGACTAGGATGGAAAGATCTTTGACAATCCCTCATGAGAAGGTATTTAATACAAGAAACAACCAAAATAACCAATAATCCAAGTAAGCCATGCTTGTATTATAGATACATTACCTACATATGTTAACCCTTGACAACCAGAAATTATCTGACATTTGTGTAAGGCATTTAAAGTTCCCAAAAATTAAAATAACCACTAAAACCCTTCAACATTTAAAACGGCATGGTTTAGTTTTAGGAGAAATGCATAGTTTCCTTTTTTCATGAAACCTTAACAATAGTGGCCATAAAGCCTTGACAGTAAAAACTGTTCTGGGTGTGGCTAGAGCAGGGGTGTCAAACTCCAGTCCTCAATGGCCGCGGTCCTGCAGTTTTTTGATGTGCCACAGGTACAAAACACAGGAATGAAACGGCTTAATTACCTCCTCCTTGTATAAATCAGTTCTCCAGAGTCTTGCTAATGACCTATTATTTTATTCAGGTGTGGTGCAGCAGAGGCTCATCTAAAAGTTGCAGGACACCGCCCCTCGAGGACTGGATGTTGACAACACCTGGGCTAGAGGCTCTATTCTGTTCCATCTTCAGACCTTTGCATAGTCATTTCTAGATCTGAAATATTTCTCTCACCTTCTTCATTCTTCAGTCGATCTAGTTGCCCTTTCTCCATCAGTGCCTCAGCCTCCTTCACGAAGGCAATCATCCCCCCAAAGGGAGGAGACAGAATCTCCTCGATAAACTCCTGCAAGGCGAGGATGGAGGAAAAACAGATAGGAATATTTAAAAGTTCAGTTGCTTGAAGTGAAAGACTAAATGCAGAAAACAAGCCTAAAGCTTATTATTGTGTTATACAGTGCCAAGATTCCTACTGCTTTCCTATTGTTCAAATTCAATCACAATGGAAGGTTTTCAAAACTTAACAGTGTGTTTTGGGTCATGCCACAACAGCCCAAATGTAATTAAGCGTGGAATTTGACTAGGCCCCTCCAACCAGCAATTTCTTTAAAAATTGTGTATGTCCTTTGGGTCATTGTTCTGCTACATAATACAAATGTGCTTAACTTAAGTTGTTCTATATACTTCTGTGACTTCCTAGAGGGTATGTGATGCACCGATTGAGTAATTGGGAAGTTTCACCATGGTTACATATTTTCTCCAGTTTGGCTCGAACTGTGTTCAGAGCAGAACCTCAGAAATAGCTTTGCAGCTCTTTCTGGATGTATAACTTTGCTTTCTCATCTGTTCTTGAATATCTTTAGCAAAAAACATGATGTGCTGTCTTTTTCATACTCTTTGCAGGATGGTCTCTTCATCCTCTTTCTGCTCCCAAACATATTGTCATTCTCATCTGTGGAAACCTCCTCTGTATTCAAAGGGATTTTAGTCTTTTTTTAAAGCTACAAAAGACAAGCTTCTGTCAGGAAAGGCTTAAAAAAGCCTTTTTTAAAGGATGTTTTTAGCCTTTACAGAAAAGGCTAAATTCTCTTTTTTGAAAGGATTTTTTGCCTGCTTCATGTTGTATTTAAGCAATGTCTTTGTTTGAAATGTCTGGGAGTGGCAAGTGAAACTGAACCAAAAAGTGAATTGCTTTTTTATTGCTTTTTAAAAATTGTTTTACTATTTCCAATCATTTACTCTGTGGAAAAACATAAATTTGCGTTGATATAAAAACAATTCCTGTTCATTTTAAGGGAATAGATCAAAAATGGTCCGCAACATTCCTTCAACCTTTAAAAATGTATTAACTTCTTCTTATCCCACTTTCATAGTTGCTGCCATCTCTAGTGTTTTTTCTGCTTCTTGATGCAAATCAATGATGCAACTCTTCTTAAACAGACTAACATCTTTTCTACCAGCAGAGGATGCATGTTTCAAGACATTTTTAGATTGTTATAAATAACCGTAAAAAAATAAATAGAAATAAAAGTGAGCAAAACTAATTTGTTAAACAAAAGTGAGTTGATTGAAAAAAGTGTAATTAAATATCCAACTGTTGAAATATTTTTATGGATTCTTTAAATCATAATTTCTTTTAAATCAAAAGTTTAGTTATACATATTAATTTAATGTGTATTATATAAAAATAATCAGGTTTTACCTGCGTTCGAGCAAGGAGCAGCTGTTGAAAACTTTCCACCTCTTTACTGTCATCTGCTGCCCTCTCCTGGACAGATTAGAAAACAACAACAACCTAATCAGAACTGACGAGTGAAAACAAAAACAAATACAAAAAATATTCTAGAACAAAAGAAAAGATTTGTGTTAGATTAAAAACCTGCGGAGCTTAAAAAATAAATACAGAACTTTTTGTTCTGCATCATCATCGAAGCAGATTACAGAGCAAACATCATTAACAGTGCACACTAAATACAGAGTAATCCTCACCATCAGGACACTGAGCATCATGTCGTAGTTGTTGATGAGGAAGATCAGCTGATCTCTCCTGGAGGGAAATTCTGCTGCCATCTTCAGCACAAAGTTTTCAACCTCAACCTGAAAAGAAAAAAAAAATTTAATTTGTTTGCTTTTCACTCCATTGCAAAAACTTGCTAAACAACCACATCTGAGAAATTTCAAACTGACCAATTTTTCATTGTAATTTGAAATTCTGAATGATTTTTCTCACACCTCTCTCCACTTGTATACCATATCAAACTGAAATACTTTTTTGGCAACAGATAATCATACAATAAATGAATGCATGTGTGTGTGTTACCTGCAGCTGGCCCAGCAGAGCATTGGTCCTCTCATTAGGAAATGTTTGATTGATGCTCACAATGGCGGAGGAGAATTCTGCATATCGCCGAGTGATCTGAAATTAGAAAACATAAACTCTCACCACAAAACCTTTTGTGATATACTTTTCCTTCCACTCAACTTTCCATTAATATGGTTGGAGAAAATAGTCTGAACCAGGTTTGTTTTTTAGCAAGAACCTTGCTAAAGCACCTTTGTTTTTCCAACAGTTTATATGCATTAATATGGAAATATAATATTTTTCTATTAAAAATCCAGTTGTTTTTCTTTTTTTGCTCATACTTACATGCAAACAGAATCTTGCAGATTTCCATTAGCTGTAAGTCATAAAAACTAGATGGCACTAAACACTGTGATTTTATGGAATATATGGATTTCATTTTTAGAATGTAATTACTGAAATAAATAAAATGTTGATTACATTAAATTTTACTGCATTGCACCTACAAAATTTTCTTCATGCCAAATCACACATCTCATAAAATGTAATTATAAAGCTGGAACCATAACCGATGCACAGGTTCACTATGATTGAAGCCAGGAGCCGTGGTCTTTGTGTGTGAACACATACGTAGTGTGGTCTGGTGTCCAGGACTCCCAGTTTCTGAGGGTCAGTGTTTCTGATGCTCTGGATATTCATCTCCAGAATGAGTTCAAACCTCGGCCACAGCAGCTCCAACACGGCCTCCCAGTACCTGAGAAACAATCACAACTTCTTCAGGTGATTCTAGAAATACAAAGAATAACGCAATCATATGTGCATCCCCCCAGTTGTTCTTGTAAGAAAGACTCCAATGAAAGTAGGAAAATAAATAAAGATTTAAATCCATATGAAGTATTTTTAATTTCAATGTGAAACTGACTTGTCAAGAGCAGGGATGGTCCTCTTGGCTGTGATGGCTCTGAATCTGAGGATGATATGGATGCAGAGAAAGACAGCGATGCTGTCGTAGCAGTCTGACACGTAAGTGGACATGCTCTTCTGCAGACAGACACAGAGAACAAGATCACTAAAGTTTTAGGTGTGTCATGTATTAGGCAAAGTAAAGTAAAAAAATAACTGCTTGCCCAGGTTGGAATTGTAAATGAGAACTATTAAATCATTGAATAAATACAAGTTAAAAAAAATAATAAAATACATTTTAAAAAAGCTAATATTACAGATTACATTATGAAGATATGTTTTCCATTTTGGTAACAAACAAAAACACCAATAGGCGCATTGGGCAAAATATAAAACAAAAGTGTGTGCACTCTACATTAAGATGAAACCCATACAACTATACAACTGAGGGTAAAACAGATGTCCATACCAGGAACATGCTGAGAGTTTTCCCCATGATGCAGTTGAAAAGGTCCAGGGCCGAGTTTCCAGTCACCATGAAAAAGTCACACAAGAAGAGGTATTCTCTGCAGCCGTTGTCCAGCAGGGCGTAGTGCTGGCTGCGGAACAACATCTCATACGGATACTGGAGAACAGACAATTAACAGATGCAATGTTTATATATATATATATATATATATATATATATATATATATATATATATATATATATATATATATATATATATATATATATATATATATATATATATATATATATGACTCATATCACAGTATAATTGATCTTTTACCGCTTATAATGCAGCCAGTGTTACCTTGTATATAATACAAGAATTATTTTCACAATTTGTTTTTAATTTAGATTGTAATTTTAAATGTGTGCTCACCCTGCTGTCCCCTCTCTGAGCTGTATGTGGAACCAGGATGGGACCCTCCAGCTCTGCTGGACTCAATATTGCCCCCCTCTGGCCCAAAGTGAAAATGGTATTCCTGCTCTTTAAAGACGGTTTGGAGAAAAAACCTGCAGCTCAAAGTCAAGGATCATTTAAACTGGGCATCGGTACATCAGTGCTGTCCTGTGTCTAACTGTCAGTCATGCAGTTGGAGTTCTTCTGATAGAAACACTTTTCAGATCAATTGAGCTTAACATATTAAAACTTTTTACCTTAGCTGACAACATTCATACAGAGGAAACCATTTACAGAAACTCCTCAACATAAAACACAAACAGTTAAATGTCGTTCATAGAAAAGGACATACCAAGCCAATGTACGAAAATACAGTAAAAACAACAACTTTATTCTAAAAGGTGACTTATAAGTGCTGAACTTGTGGTTTCTGTGTGCCTGTAGCAGAACATGGTACAAGATTTTACATGTTTTGTTTTATAAAATAAATAATCATTTTTGCTGTTTGAAAATGAAACTCTTTCTATAAACAAAATACTTTACTTCTGTATTAATTTCCTAAGAGAAAGTATGCTTAATTTTCTTCTAATGTAATTTCAATGTTTCATTTTTATGAGCAAACACAACCGTGGATAAAGACAGAAATTGAAGGATATCTTTCTTAGCTGTATCTTCCACTCCCATCAGGTCATCTTTGTCTGCTACCTCCTCATACTGAAACAGAGCAGAAAAACAAATTCTAATATAAAACAAAACCCTTTAAATAAAATGAAGAGCAGAAAAAGGACAAGAGCTTAGTGCTTTCCAACATTCTGACAGCCTGGGACGTGTAGTAGACCAAAAAAAAATGTAATGAAGCAGAGATGAACTTATGGAGGCCACATCACACGCTTGTGATTTTTCTTAATGGATCCACTGACCTGCACTTTGAGGAGCCGGCCACTGTAGGACTTGAAGTAACTGTAGTAAATCTTGCTCATCGTGTCCACATACTCGTCCCTGATCTCCTTGGCAACGGTTCTTTCATTAGCCAAAAGAAACTGATAGAAAAATCTACAGCAGGACAGTCATAAGGACAACCATCAGTAATTTTCACTCATTTTAGAAAATGAAATAAATAGAAAAAGGAGGTGGCCACTATAAAGTAGAAAAGTACACACCTGTATTTCAGCAGAGTATTTTGTGGGATCTGATAGTTTGTCATTGGTTTCCTGAAGGAGTAGATCTTCTGAAGAATAAACTCTCTGATCTTTGAGACTGCCTGAGGAGGAGAAAGTTCAGTTTACCCACTGTGAAAAACATCGTAAAAGAATCCTAGAGTTCAACTTACACAAATACAACTAAACTCATTCAGGATTCAAACAGTTCCTTTGAACATTTGACAAATGATTTAAAAGGTTATGTACATATATTTCTTCTCCCTGAAACAACCATTTCCTTATGCAGCAAGAGTACATTTAAAACAATGACTGAAAAGCAAACAACATGAACATAAAAGAACTGAATTTCTCTCTGGGGTTTACCTTGAGTTTGAGGCGATCAACAATGTCCTGGATGTCGGAGCAGGCCAAGGTTTCTCTGAAGCTCAGCTCTTTGGCAAAGTTGATCTTTGTGTTGAGCTCATGGAGCTGCTCGAGAAACTCCTGCTCTGTCACTGGACTTTCCAGGATGGTGCTGCAATGATAGAGGACAACATCAAGCCATTAGTAGTAGTTTTTTAGTCGCTCAGTTTTAATACAACATCCCTATTTTTCTTATTCTAATTTTGTAATGAAGCAACATAAAAATTAATTAAGGCTTTACAAAATTGTTGTCTTTATGCTCAACATGATTGAAATTATTGTTTTAAACTTACGAGATCATGACTCCAGGCACCACTAGCTCGTCCACCAGCTGGCTGAGGTGGCTCCGTACAGCCTGCCTGTTCTTCAATCGAACGTTCATACTGACTGACTGCTGCTGCAGGGTCTGGATCTCACTGCTGATGGAGGAAAGGTCGCTCTGAAAGCCACTCAGCATACCCTCCATTCGCTGAGGAAGAAAAAGAAAAAGTAACCTATTAAAAATCAGTAATTCAAGAACTGGAAAGATGTTTTAACTCATCTTTTTCTAGTTATATGGAGTAGTTACACACTAAGAAAAATGTGGAAATGGAACACTTCTATTAGATGTACTGTGGATAAGTGCTATGTAAATAAACTGCTTAAGTATGTCTCACCTCAAGTATGGAGTCACACGCAGTGATCTGGTTGTGCAGAAGAGCAATGTTTTGACTTTCCTTAATGTCTAACATAAATGTGCTCAGGATGGAATTTTTGCATTGTTAAAAAAGTAAAACAATTCCAAGTCTCACAAGAATTCAGTAAACAATTCAATGAAATTATAGTTTATTAATTGTCCATTCAACATAAACTCTCGGATTTAGTAACAATGTCACCTCGCTTCAAACGTAGGTGACATTGTTACATCATGAGGGCCAGTAAGTTCTCAAATTTAAAGGATACAATCTTTGATGGAGGCTTGTTCGATCCTCTGCAGCTCTGCCTCCACCTGCTTGGAGTACTGACGTAGGTCAACACCCTAAAAACAGGCATAAAGAGAAGAACTGAACTATTAGAAAACATGGTTATTATTGACTTCATATGAAAAGATGTTCACCTTTGTTGAAATTACAAATGAATAGTGTAATTACACCAAATATTTTGTGCCTCTGGTTTGTGAAAAAGAATACATACTGGACCAGGTAATGGAATAGCTTTCTTTCTTGAGCGTACACTTTATTAAAAATATAAAATTCAGAAATAATAAAGAAGCAAGTAATTGTCACAGTAACAGAAACAGGTGTTATCCTTCGGCCGTTTAAATCTCTACAGTGGAGAAATGAGGAGGATTAATAGCCAAGTCAATTTAAACATTTAAGCTGTGTATATTTGATACAAATGTGTTATGATGCTTTTACCGTTTTAAGAGCTTCTTTCACAAGATCATCTTCCAAGTTTGCCTGAATATGAGCTGCAGAAAGAAAGATATAATAATTAAGAAAAATCTTGCAGAAATCTGAGATCAAAAAGACTTTCCAAGACAAGAACTCCTCCTCTGAACTCGACTGAAATTTCTTAAATAAGTGTACAACAGCTAAAATATAAAAACATGCCAATGAGAGACTTTAAGAGTTCAGATAAAATCAAACAGTTTCTGTTAGCAAGGAGGAAGAATGAAACAGAACGTAAGATGGCAACGACCATGCTGCAAATGTTTAGTGATGAGACAAAATGTTTACAGACCAATTATGTATGATCTATGCATTACGAAATACTGTTTCATAAGGAAAACGATAAATGAGCAAAACTAGTTCATTTTGGGACTGTGAATTTATTTCATAATGAAAAGGTGCTCAACTATGAACATACAATAACAAATGTTTAGCCTTTGTGAACTAAATAAAGACTGGAGCAAAACAGTAATGAACCAGAGTCTTACTGTCCACTTCGTCCAAGATAAACTCATCAGTGGTCAGGTCCAGTTCTCCCAAATTAAGGTTAGCGATGTCTCCATCAGTTTTCTAGAGAAAAATCAAGATATAGCTATTTCACAAAAAAAAAATCTCTAAGGGTTTCACCTCATTTAGTGAAACAAGTACGTGTGTAGTGCGAGGTATATAAAGTATACCAGATACAACCAAATGTTTATCACAGTGAAAATATCATCTGACTTGATTTTTCGTTGTTTGCAATCAACTCGGTAATTAGTCAACTAAATAAACTGTCACCTCATCCTGTAGATACGCCATTGCGATTTGTGTTTGGTTTCCAGTTATGTTTACATCGGCTTCAATAAGACCAGCAGGTACTCCCTCCGCCATTGCGGCGAATTTATGCTAACGTAGAGGATAGAAAGGAAAACAAAAACACAAATGTAACCCAAGAAATGTTCCGCTTCCAGGTATCAGCGAAACCTGCTTTTAAACCTATGCCTTACTAGGTTTAGAAGCATTTAATATTTTTATAAACCTAGTAAGGCATATGGTTTCAGACTGGTTAAATTATTTTTATACAGATAAAATAACTGTAACATGCATATAATTTAAGTTTATTAATTGCCTTTAGGATGCGCAGAATCTCGTCGGACCCACTAAAAACGGAGGACCGATTTCCGGTCAAAAATTTAGCCAAAGTCTCGCGAGATAATAGCGTCTTCCTCTTTGCACGGAACCTGCTTCCAAGATGGTAAGTTAGTTTTCGACCGATCTAGTATGGTTTTAAAATCTGTAATCATCGAGCTTACATCTACTTTATTTGTGGTTTATTCATACCCAATAAGCAATGTGCATGTTGTGGGGATGAAATAACTTGAAATCGTTGAAATATAAGACATTATTGTTGAAATACGGCACCCTATCTTACCAACGCTGGTTAGCTGTGAGGAGTCACAGAAGCCAAGAAGCGCCAGTGGATTTAATACCTACAATTTTCATTGTTAATTTCGCTAAAACACACGTTTCACGTGCCAGTTAAAGCAGTGATAACTTGCGTTATATTGCTACATTTGAGGTCCCATAATATTTATATCGCCCATACAGTTTTAGCGGGGCTTCAATCGCTGAGCTACTTTGTTAGCATTAACAAGAGGACTACAAATAGAAGCCAGTTTGCATTAAGTTTTGCATTTAGTTTGATTGAACAAGTTAAACAGTTATCAACTGATTGCATCTTGTATTTTGCAGTGCTGTGGTCTTAAGGTAGCTATGTTGCTAGGATTCAGCCTCTGATCATCTGTTTTAGTTATGTTTTTCCTGTTGTGATTATGATTTCAGTCTTTGGTCATCCCTGAGAAGTTCCAGCACATTCTTCGTGTTCTCAACACGAACATTGATGGAAGGAGGAAGATCGCCTTCGCCATCACTGCCATCAAGGTACATTTGAAAAAATATATATTTTTAAAATATTTGACCTGTTTCATTTATTAAACCTTGTGCTACATTTGAACTTAAATTTGCTGCACTTGGTATCTTGATTGTTTACATGAGAGTAATATAAAATTACTGTTTGTCTGATTTAAGGGTGTAGGCAGGCGCTACGCTCACGTCGTCCTAAGGAAAGCTGATATTGACCTCAACAAGAGGGCTGGAGAGCTCACTGAGGAGGAGGTAAGCATAGTTGCTGAAAACTGAAAATTATTAGTTCCAAGTCTGGCTAGAGATCTATTTTTGGACAGATTACTGAGTTGAATAAGAATGATTGTTGTCTTGAAAAATTTATATACCGCAGTTCAAATTTGCTGTAAAGATGTAGTTGCCCTACCAATGTCAACGGTGTATGTTTTTTGTTTTCCATTTTGTTTTTTGGAAGTTTTGGTCTTGACCACATACATGTTCTTGCTTTGCAATTATTGTGTATGGATTTTCTCAAATCTACTCAGTCCAAACATCCCCATGGACAGCGCATGGAGGTTCTTTAGGAAGCATAATCACAACTTGCTTTATGAACAGAAGCTTCAAAAAGGTTGAAATGTGGTTGCCATTGATTTTTGCCCCTCCAGTAATATTTATTTAAGAGCGAGTCAAAATATTAATCATCTCAGCCTTTTAGATGATGAGATAATCCTCTTCACATGAGCAGCATCTTATCTGTGGATATAAAGGAATAAAAAAATGAACACTGTGGGCTTTGTGGTTCATAATCTGATGTTAAAACATTCGCTTCTATCTTAATTAGCTTTAAAAACAATACTCAGAGTTGTAAGCATATATTCCTCAAAATAATAAAAATAGTTTAAAAGCTAAATAACTTTGGTTCACTTGCCTGAACACTTTTTTGTGATGGTTATTGAAAGACTGTATCTATACATTGAAGCCATGTGTTGGTAAAATAAATATTTGATCCACTCAAGATTCATGATCAAAAATAAATAAATTTACATTGAGGCAAATAGGCTGATCTTTTTCTGGTAGAAGTCAAACTATATCTTAATTGCTGCCAACTATTAGTACTAATAATGTTATTTATGAATATGTACGTGATTATTATTATTTTTTTTTTTATGTATAGGTTGAGCGGGTAGTGACTATCATGCAGAACCCTCGTCAGTACAAAATCCCAGACTGGTTCCTTAACAGGCAAAAGGACGTCAAGGATGGCAAATACAGCCAAGTAAGTGTTCAACAGTATTACGAATCAGTTTAGACCCAATGAGACACCACTGCCTGAAATGTTGTAAAGTTCTTTTTAAATGTTTCCTCATTTAATCACGGATCATTTTTATGTGTATCTCTAGGTCCTTGCCAACGGTCTGGACAACAAGCTGAGAGAAGATTTGGAGAGACTGAAGAAGATCAGGGCTCATCGTGGTCTCAGACACTTCTGGGGGTAAGAATTAAGAGCTTTTGTCCTTGAACAAACATCAATGTCTTGTTTTTAGTCGATTCATTCGTAATACTGTGATAAAGCTAAGATTGGGAACAATATTGCAACGCAACGTGTTGAGGTCCTAAACAGACTGGTTCAGCTCAAGATTGTTCAAATACAGAAAGGTGAACAGATGAATGGTGCAGCGAGAGTCTGTCCTGGGGACACTTGAATTCCTATTAAATAATTTTTGTTTCTATACTGAACACTTTGCACTACATTGACTAAATAAATTGGCTTAAAAGAAGAGCAGGCAGGTGTTTGGTGGCTCAGTTTTAAAAGACCACATGCACCATGTGAAGATGTTGTCTTCGATTTGTTTGTCCAGGGTTTGATCCCCGATCTCAGGCCATTTTCTCTCCTCTTCCCTGTTATGTTCTACTGAATTAAATATGTTTAAAAAACCATTAAGCCATTTAGTCTTGCTATCTTGCTAATCTGATTAGCCTTCTAATGTATTGTCCTTCTCTTTAAAAGTGAAGTTGTTCTGTTGCATATTGTGTAAATGTCCCAATGTGAAAGGCATGCCTGTATAACAGTGGAAAAGACATATCTCTCTTACATGTGACAAATGCAGTGTAGCTTTGCATTTCCTACTGGAAGGTTCATTGTATTTACTCCATAAACTTCATTAGTTAGCAAATATCCTCATTCCATGGTATATTTTTCTGTACATATATTTAAACTTTTGAAGTGTTGTGAAATTGTGACAGTGCTCTTAAAGAATATTTGCCAAATAAACCCTGTCCTTGTTGCTCTAGTTTGTTTCCATAGATGAACTAAAATGAATTAGTTTGAACTTTTCCTGCATCTCTTTTCTCTATCTAGTCTCCGCGTGCGCGGACAGCACACCAAGACCACCGGCCGTCGTGGTCGCACTGTCGGTGTGTCCAAGAAGAAGTAAACTCCCTGCTTCCCTTTGTTTCAATAAAACACACTTCACAAAATTTACCTAGCCTGTCTTTTTTTGTTTTTGATTCAAATACTGATCCTGAAATTGGTTTAAATAGTTTATTCTCAATTGTTCAGAAAGAGTGACTTTTGTAACAGGAATAATATTGCATTTAATTTACCCATCATATCCTGAAAGTAGGTAAACTATGGCTGCAGAAAATATAAAGTGCAAAGAAACGATAAGCAGAGTTGAAATTGTTCAACTTGTGTCCAGCCTTAATAAAGAAGGCCCATGTATGGCTTTTTTGTCTTTTAAGCAAGTGTAGAAACATACTGTGGTATTAACTAAAGCAAATTAAAGGGGTGAAAAGAGTTAAAATACAGATATCTGAAAAATGGTTAAAATAAGAGACTAAAACATGGCAATAAATCATCCTGCCCATTTCCAATTATATTACAGCAAAATTATTCAGGACAAATTAAGACTTGAGCATTCTAAATACAGTTGGATAAAACTACATATCTATTAAAGAAAAGCTTAAAAATGTACAATTTCCCCTCTCCCAATGTATGTTAATATTCATAGCTGTTGCTGCAAAAGTTTGTTCACTCAATGTTGAAAAGTTACAGCTGTGAATTCATTACTGCCACAATAGTACATGATATGACAGCTGTTTTATAAGGATGAAGAGCTGGTAGTAGCTTCAGTCATGTGGCCTATTAAAAGTAGCATTATATAAATTACCCTTCATCAGAATTGCAAGACAACTTAAGCAGGAGAGGAAAAACATTAACTTCTCAAAATTCATTTTCTGAAACTATTTGGGATGATCTATGCCTTATCAAATGCCCATCATGACAGTAAATCTAAAGCACCCAACATATTGAGAATAAGTAAATATGCCATAAAATAGCTGGAATTAAAGAGTCCTATGATTGTACAATAACCAAAACAAAGAATGGTACATGATACAAAGATTTTTGGAGAAATACATTAGTCAACAAAAATGTTATCAAAAAATAAGGAATGACAAAATGGTGACTCCTGAAGGAGGAAAAATCTTCTGACCAAAGTGAATTTTATTAAATGTTTTTTTCTTTTAATGCTGCATATTGCATCATGTTTTCTGTTTATGATCAATTCCAATTCAGGTCAGCCGTCAAATGCTTCAAATAAAAAGTACGCAACAGAAATCAAAGAATAAACCAAAATTAATGCTAGATTCCAAACAAAACGTGTTTTTATAGCAGTTGACAGAGAACGGGTCTATGACCTCATCCATCCTGCGGTGGGGGGGATTTCTGCTGCGGCTGATGCTGCTGTGCTGCTTGAGGCTGCTGCTGCTCCTTGGTGGGAGCGTAATAAAGCTCCAGCGGCTTTCGGACCTTCCAGTATTTCTCGTTGACCAATTCTAGTGTCAGAGAACCGTTGAGAGTCTGAAGGGAAAAAAATAGGTGACTGGCTTGCAACAGTTTCTTTATGCATATACAAACATTTTAATCCTGACGATGAGACCGGAATTGAGTTTGTTACTTACTGAAAACTGCCCTCCCCTTGTTGTTATGTAGATGGTGTATTGTTTCTCACTGATGTTGCCCAGACTTGTCCCTTCTCCACTCCTTGAAGCTGCTCCAGTTTCGCCTTCTCCCTCTGCTCCTCCCTCCTCTTTTCCTCTGTTCTCCATTGGCCCATCAGTCCGTCGTTCCTCGAGAGCGATGCGCAGGGCAAGGTACTTTGACAGATGGTCCACAGTGGCGTTGGCTGTCGTCTTCACATATCTGTTAAAAAGAGGGTTAATATTTATTGCTATTAACAGCAGTACATTCTAAGATTGTTTACTGTT